TATACACACATACTACAATCAATATACAGTGAGAGAAAAAAGTATTTGATCCGCTGCGGATTTTAAACGTTGGCCCACTGACAAAGAAATGATCAGTCTATAATTTTAATGGTAGGTTTATTTTAACAGTGAGAGACAGAATAACAGAAAAACAAAGAAAAACCATGTCAAAAAGGTTATAAATTGATTTGCATGTCAATGAGTGAAATGAGTATTTGATCCCCTATCAATCAGCAAGATTTCTGGCTCCCACGTGTCTTTTATACAAGTAACAGGCTGAGATCAGGAGTACTCTCTTAAAGGGAGTGCTCCTAATCTCAGCTTGTTACCTGTATAAAAGACACCTGTCTACAGAAGCAATCAGATTCCAAACTCTCCGCCGTGGCCAAGACCAAAGAGCTGTCTCTGCTTCCGCTATACACACACACCCTTCACCCACTATACACACACTGCATCCTCTATACACACGATATGTCCTCTACACACACACACACTGCATCCTCTACACACACACACTGAATGCACTATACACACACTGTATCCAATATACACATACACTTCATCCTCTACACACATGCCTACACACATACTGCATGCCTTAAACTCACTACATCCAGTATAAACACACACACTGCATCCTCTATACGCAGGGAGAATGCCAATTCCTTATAGCAAATGATATAAGGATTTAATTGGAGTGGATTAGCAACATTTTGGCTTTCATACAAGCCTTTGTCAATTCCTGGCTTGGAATATATCCTGTGTACCCAGTCATATATTTTCTTCATTTGATATGCATCCCTTACACATGTACAATTGCAATTCTTTGTTTTGTGCCAGCATGTTCTGCAATGCTGTGCAATAGAAAACAAGTTAACCTAAATTATCCTAAAAAAACCTCCAATGTTAAAATATAAATGGAATATTAAATATTGTGTGGTGTACTGTTTAGTAATTTATTGCAGATGAAATTCAGAAAAAAAACCCTCAAATGTTAAAAACCACTATAAGGCACTAACAAGGCATAAGACAAATATTTCCATAAAAACTGCTGATTCTTAGCTTTATCATACATGACCACATCTTCATCTTTCACCCAGTCAGGACCTACCCTTCAGGCCAATAAACTTGTCTGTTTCATGCATGTATACGTTTCTATTTTTCCTGTTCCACCATGGAAATATCTAATCATAAGATATTTCTCCCATCATATTTCTATGACAACCCTTTCCAGTTGCATCCCAGTCTCAATATTTGAGTATCTCCCAGTCACAATTATCCAGCTTCACATAAAGATTTATTTATGTCTACCAAAATGACAGAGCAGAAAGGCACATTTTTGTTGGTCCAAATTGAAGGGCCCATCCATCTTGAGCAGGGAGAGTGGGGATCCATCTTTGGGTACCCTTCTTTAAGGGGCCGCACGTGGCTCTCACACTCAGAGTTGATTGCAGGTTAGAAGCTATGTAAGGATATAACATTTATATTTTTTATTTACTTATTCATTCTTTGTTGAACTATTGACAGGTTACACTCTGAATCAGGGATAGGAAACCTTAGGCACTCCAGATGTTGTGGACTACATCTCCCATAATTCTCTTAAAGTCATAATGTTGGCAAAGCATCATGGGAGATATTGTCCACAACATCAAGTGTGCCAAATGTTGCCTACCCTTTAAATGGTATATACTGTGTATTGTATTACACTACTTACTACATGTCTGATAAAAATAAATGAATACTCCCACAGAGTGAAAAGGTTTTTTTAAAATACTTCATCATAAAATAAAAATTGGGGTTGACGGAATATACACTACTTACATTTCAATAAGACCAGCTGTCATTTTTGGAATAAAAAAATATCCCAAATAGCAGCAGAATACAAACATTTGGGGAGGGGGGGTTTTTAAGGCTAAAAAAGTGCTATTTAATGTGGTGAGTAAGGGCAGATCCCCATGGAAACCACAAATATGTATCAGTATTTAGCACTCTTTGCCCGTAAAAGCACCTGATTTGTCTTAATACATCTATTGTTATCTTAGAATAATACATTCATAAGTATGGAAAAAGAGGTAGGTCACATCTAAATGAACCAAGACTGGTCAATAGCATTCAGATATATAAAGGGAGTCATTGGATGCACCAACCACTTCTACAAGCTCCTATATTTTTAGATGGCATTTAACACCCAATATGGCATTTAACACCCACCCATATTTACAAGGGCACCTCCAAAACATGTTGGCGGGGATGTGGGGAGGAGGGCACTTTGCTACATATGCCAAAAAATGATTGGCCCTGGTTTTTTATCTCAGCTGGCATTGACTGCAGTGTTAACACACTGTCTCAACCAGTGTATAGTCTAGGTTGGCTGATTTAGTGCTTAAGAAACCGGCTTAGGTTTAATTGCAACATTTAAGCCAAAGTAGTTGAATTTGTAAGATTGCAAATCGGAAAAAGAGGAAACTTTGGAGAATGTTTCAGTGTTGTGATCTGAAATGTGCAAAGATGCACAGGTGGAGAACTCGCTAATCAAACGAACTGTTGAATCCATTGGTTCCATGGTGAGCTGACACTTAAGTAATTCTCAGTAAGTACCAATCGACATTCCATGCTTGGAAGATGACAATTTAATCAAAAAGATTATTCTTACTGTCCTATTTATCTGGGACCTGGAAAGAGAATAATGCAATAGAGCATGACACAGTAAGAACAATTAATTGATGTGAAGTAATCACCATCTTATATTTAAACATGTTATTGCTGATGATTTCCTATAGGGAGAATTGTAATGAATCTCCCTGCACCCATTCAATCCTTACTTTTAAATTAGTTTTGTAATTACGATTGTGAACTGAGGCTTATAAACTATTTCTCAAAAAAATATTGCCAGTTTTAATTACTTTAAGCGCTCTTAATTTTGAGTTAGTCCAAAATAGTGACCTAGATCTTCGAATGCTAATTATTGCAGATACCCAGTCATAGCATGATAAAATATCCCCTGTATATTTACAGATATTAAGCTTATGTTCACGTCTCCTATTTCCTTGTACTGATGTTCAGTTAGGAAATTGATAATGCTCAAGTGGTTTAAATTCTTTTCAAACACACATAAATTATTAAAAGTCAAGTACATATTTTTCCACTTATATATGGAAGGTTACATTCAAAGTGATTTTCTGCATTCATGGTATTTTAATAGTATGTGTGTGTATATGAATACCTTCCATATGCACTGTAGTAAATTCTAGGGAATTTTTAAGGTTTTTAACTCCTTTGTAAATTATTTTAGGTTTTTCCGGTAAAATACTCTTAAGAATTGGGTTGTCTTTTAAAATGTGCCAATGCTTGTTTATAATCTTGTTTACTTTTCTATTATTCCCTTGAAACTCCAGATAAACAGGACATTACCATTGCTCCATTTTTGATTTTTTTTTATCTTTGTATGTTAGCAATTTTTCTCTTGGTATTTTAAAAACATTCTCTAAAGCTGTCTGGAGTTTGATTTCTTCATATCCCTTTTGTAAGAATTGAGTCTTAATCCTACTTGCATGTGTTATATAATCTTGATCATTTGAGCAGTTTCATCTAATTCTTAGGAATTGACCTCTAGGGGCATTTGATAACCAAGGAGCGTAAGGGCAGCTTTCTTTCCCAATATATCCATTGGCATCTACTTCTTTGAAATAAATCTTTGTCGTAATCTTTGCGTCTGTTATATTGATGTCTAAATCTAAAAAAATAATTATTTCTGTGCTAATTTGTGCAGATAAAACAATGTTCCAATCGTTGTTGTTCAGATATGTGATAAAAGTATCTAAATCTGTATCAGTGCCAGTCCAAATAAAAAATATATCATCTATGAAACGGTGATAGCACACCATATTTTCATATTTTACAAGTTCGCCCCCCAGGGATGCCCCTGATATACAAACTGTTCCTCCCAATACGCCATGAACAAATTGGCGTAGCTGGGGCAGAACTTGGTGCCCATCGCCGTTCCCCTAATTTGCAGGTAAAAACTTAATTAAACCAAAAAAAATTATTGGTTAAAATCAAATATATATCTTCTAAAATAAATTGCACTTGTTCCTCTTTAAAATTATTTTTCTTTAAAAAATATTGCACTGCTTCTAATCCTTTTTCATGTGGTATAATACTATAAAGTGAAGTCACGTCGCATGTCACTAAGAAGTTGCCTTCTTTCCAAGTAATTTCCTCTATTAGTTGTAAAATATGAATAGTATCTTTCAAGTAAGCAGGATTACGGATAACTAGAGGCTGTAGTAGATGATCAAGGTATTCCGATACTTTCGCTTATATAGAGTCTATCCCAGATATCATTGGCCTTCTCGGTGGATTTTCCCTGTTCTTGTGCACTTTTGGGAGATGATAATATACTGGTGTTTTGGGATATGGGGTGGATAGGTACTTGGCTTCATTTGTTGTCAATATTCCTTTTTCCAATCCTTTTTCAATATAAGCATCAAAATTCTTTTTAATATCTTCAATTGGATTCTGACAAAATTCGCTCTGCTTCCTGAAAATACTTACTCTTTGGAATGACTACTATGCCTCCCCCTTTATCCACTGGCTTAATTATGATCTCTTTGTTTTGTTTCAATTCTTTCACTGCTTTCTTTTCTTTGCTTCACATATTTTGTTGATATTTATTTAATGGTCTAATTTTCTTTATTTCTTTCATTACCATTATTTCAAACGTCTTTATCTCGTCTGAAATAAGGTGCTTGGGGAAAAAAATTGGATTTCATTTTTAGATTCGTGTGTATATTCTGATAAGGCTTCCTCATTTGGGGTGTCTTCCCTATTAGCAAAAAAAAAAAAATTAAACAGAGATGTCTAATAAACTTGTTAACATCTATGAAAAAAATTGAATTTATTAAGATCAGAGTTTGGGGCAAATTTTAGGCCTTTTTGTAAAACTTCAATCTCCCCTATGGGCAATTCTTCACCCGTCAAGTTAAAAATTCCATCTAAGTTTACCTCTTTCCTCTCTTCTCTCTGTGTCTCTCTTCTTCTTTTTCTGTTTCTCTTTCTTTTGTTGCCGATATCTGCCGCTTGCCAGGAGACTCCCATATTGTGATTTGTCTTGTTTGTTTCAATCTCTCTGTTGCTGGGTCCTTCCAAAAAAAAGTCAATGAGGATTCTTGTTTAGATGTATGTGGTTGTTCCTCTGTTTCATCCAGTCTATTTCCCTGTATCATTGGAGGATATCTGTCATTTTTTCTCCTTCTCTCTTCTTCATTCCATATTGAGTTCCTTCTCTCTATTCTTTTTGGGAGATTCGATTGGACTGCTTGGCTATAACTCTTGTGGTTGGTGGACCTTGGTAGAGGAGAGTGATTCCTCTTGCGGTCTCTCCATTGATGGGAAATTGGTTCATGTCTAGGGGAGTATTTTACCGGAAAAACCTAAAATAATTTACAGAGGAGCTAAAAACCTTAAAAATTCCCTAGTACAGAGTAGTGCTAAAGGAATAACACCAGTGAATAATTTTTTAAGTATGAGCAAAGGTTTTTATGGATGTGGACAATGCCTGGCGTGTAGAAACACCAAAAATAAAAAACGGCACATAATAGAAATGGAACCTATTATATATCAAAAATTTGAAATTAAAGATCAATTAACTTACTATTCCAAAGGGGTAATTTATATTTTAAAATGTCCATGTAACCTCCTATACGTAGGCAGAACAATCCGATGCCTGAACACAAGGGTAGCAGAACACACAAGAAACTTAAGAAATGGATTAGAGACACACAGTGTCTCAAACCATTTTAAAACAGCTCACAACCAAAACCCTGAAGGGATGTTTTTTAGTGCCATTAAACGCGTTAAAAGAGATTGGAGGGGAGGAGACTACATGAAAAAAATAGGGATGGAAGAAATGAAATGTATTTTTAATTTTAATACTATGATGCCGCAGGGACTAAACAATGATTTTGAATTGTGCCATTTTATGAATTAATTCTTTTTTATATTACCTCTTGTGTTTTAATAGAATTTATTTTAGGACATTTTTACATACACCAGAATGGATTAATTTTCTGCCTTTATCCTCTGAAATTATCTTATCATTAGTTTTTGATATTTGTTTTAACAATTGTAAATAATTTTTTATGTGTGCAAATTTATATCATTGGTAATATGTATCCATTTGAAGAATATGTCACTTTTAACTATGACGCAGATATGTGCCTTTTTAAATATTTTAACTATTTTTGTATAGGACTTGTACAGAAGTATACAAATATATGGGAGTTTATGAAACTTCAAATCAAATTTTTAGTGTATTAACCTTTATTCCTACAATGATTAAATCTTTATTCCTACTATGATTTGCTATAATTTGAATATAAGTTGATTAATATGCTCGATATATATGATGGGACTGCTGAATGTTAATAAAGTTTTCAGGATTGACTGAAAAAGCCGATCGGCAACGTCATACTCGGAAGTGGAATGATTGAAAATAATGTTGGAACGCACGTTACGTTCCACTAGATGCAATCCGGAAGTGCCAACATTTCCACTAGACGCAACACGGAAATGGAACACACCTGAACCATAATTGATGAGCGGGCTATTTAAAGCAAGGAATATCGAACGGATTACACGACAGCCAACTGAGAAAGCCTATTCTATAAGGCGAAACGCGTTTTGGACACTGTTACTAACAATATAGCTTATCCAGATATTTATCTGGTATGATTTTATCATTTTTATATTTGAAGTTTTATTTGGATTAATAAAGCACCTTTTTTCCTAAAGAAACCACTCTCACCTGGCATTTGTACACTTTGGAGCCGGCCAAGAGGGAAAAGGAAAGCACACATCACTTTGAAAAAGAAGGACCTGGACATCCTATAATAGTCCAAAGGCGCATACCATTTGAGTCATATAAGGGTATGACTCTAGGCTTGTGAGTGATATTGCTCTTTTATTTTACTTTTCAAGCTTTTAAATATTGTATTGCACTATTGTTTGCATATTTTATTTTGCAGAATATCTATTAACAACGTAGAACGTTTCTCACCGCAGTGTTCTAATTGCTCGTCTGGGTGGCCGTGATTCCTATGAACAACCACGAGGTGGCGGCCATCTTGTTCACATAAACGCAGGCAGTGGTGTTTTGGCATGAATCTCATGGAACTGAAATCGGATACAGAAACCCCCGAACACCGCTGGACTTCCATCATCGCCTGTGTTCGTTTCTATTCAGCCTAGAAGATCACTGTTCGTTGAGATCATTCATCTGGATGAAGGGAACAAGCTCCAGGGTAAGACTATTGACTCCATTTGGTAGTTTGTTCATTTGTGTGTTCATTTGCAAACTACCGAACTAGACTGGCCGCAAGCCCTGATCCTCTGGAACTGTTTTGGGCATGAAACCATGTGTGTGGTCGGTCAAAAGAGACTTCCAGGAATTTCCTGAACCCCTTCTCTGTTCTTGGTGATTTTTTGATATCTGGGAAGAATTAAGTTAGTACATTAACTACCACAATTATATCACAGGCAGAGGTGAGGGATTGTGTGCTGTATGTGGGAATGTCGGACATTGTTATATGGTTATATAGCTTGGTTGCTTCATCTAAGTGTTGCTTCTAAGTGTGTGGTTGGAGATATTCTGGAGAGTTTTACAGAAGCTTCAACTGTCTAAAAGTTGTACTAAGAATTTTCTTTTCTACTGTTACAGGTAAGATTTATCTGTAGGAAAAGGTTACTGATTGCACAAGGTTTGATTTCCTGTTGGTAATTATAAGGCATTTGATTTGATTAGTTAGCTACTTGCTATTGATTGCTGTTTAAATTAGCTATTGTTTGCAAATAAGCAGAGGCCTACCTAGGTGTTAAACATTCCTAGTGGGTGGTGATTTTAGGAGTTATATAAGGGTTGTTGTCATTAGCTTGGCTAATATAGCTTGGTTGCTTCATCTAAGTGTTGCTTCTAAGTGTGTGGTTGGAGATATTCTAGAGATAACCTGGAGTTAATCTGAGGTATTCAGGAGGATAAATAAAAAGTTAAGATTTGTTTGATTTAAATTATTCACCTCATTGGAATGGCAGACTTAGTTCAGTGTAATAGTTGCTATGCATTTGTTTCATGTTCCACTTTTTGGAGGTTTGGTTGTTGTCTAATCTGTAGGCAGTTCTCTATCTTGTGGCAGGAGATTGTATTCTTGAAGTCTGAGATTTGTAAATTATCTGGTAAACAAACTCAGACTGGAACTGCTGCAAAGCCACTGCCGCAGAGACATACTAGGAATGGCAGATGGATTACTGTAGGATCTGGTAGACTTAGAGTTGTGGATAAAAGGCATATTGCACAGTCTGTTGCTCTACATAATTCATTTTCTGCACTTTCAGAGTGTAATGGTGTTGTGGAGAGAGGCACTGAGGCTAGTGGTGTTGTGGAGAGAGGCACTGAGGCTAGTGGTGTTGTGGAGACAGGCTTGGAGACTACGGTGAGGCCTAATAGAAAGCAGTTGTTGTTGGGGGATTCCATCATAAGAGGTGTGGAGATGGACAATGGTGGTCTTGTAAAGGGTTCTTTCCGGAGCTACTGCTCACAGATGCAGGAGACGTATCTGTAATATTGTTAAGCGAGCAAAGCAGGAAGGGGAATTGGATGTACTTGTCCATCTAGGGAAAAATGATTTGGCTTGCAATGAGGTTTCAGAGGCTAAGGAAGTTTTTAGTGTTTTAGCCAATGATATACGGCAGGTTGCTTCCACACTGTCAATCTCTGAAGTTCTGCCTGTGTATAACACTCAGAACGACAGGCGGATGCGTATTAGGGACTTTAATTTGTGGCTTGGTGAATGGTGTCGGGAGCAAGGATTTGGCTTTATTTCTCATGGTAGCTCTGTTTGGAATGGAAATAACCTGTACAAAAAAGATGGTTTGCATTTTTCTCAAAAGGGAACAAATGTTCTTAGTGAGAAGTTCAGAGGTTTTGCTAGGATGTATTTAAACTAGGAGGGGGGGGGGGCAAAAGGGTGATAAAACATCATTCCAATTGTCCCCCAAAACAAGGACACAAGGTGCCTGTAGCAAGTGTATTAAAAAATTATAAGCTTAGAGTCATGTCTACAAATGCTCGCAGTTTAGGGAATAAGATCCATGAACGTGTGGCAATAATGGCAACTGATAGTGTAGATTTAGTCGCTGTTACTGAGACATGGTATAATGAGAAAAATGACTGGGACATAGCAATACCAGGGTACTCTTTATATAGAAAAGACAGGGAAGGCAAGAAAGGGGGAGGGGTGGCCCTGTATGTGAAGGATAGCATAAAATCTAGCCTAATAAAAGTTAGTGAGGCGAACATAGAGTCCGTTTGGGTTACGTTAGAATTTGGTAATCACACAGTAACTCGTGTAGGTGTGATTTACAGGCCCCCAGGACAAATTGAAGAGTTAGATAATCTACCAGTTGAGGAAATAGCTAAAATGACAATGAAGGGGGAAGTTATCATCATGGGTGACTTTAATCTTCCTGATGTGAATTGGAAAACAAAAATAGCTGCTTGTGCTAGGAGCACACATATTCTAAACTCCCTACTGGGATTGTCCCTAAAACAAGTCGTTGAGGAGCCAACTCGTAAAGAGGCCATACTAGATTTAGTGTTAACAAATGGAGATTTGGTATCAGATATTACTATAGGTGAAAGTTTAGGATCCATTGATCATCAGTCAGTGTGGTTTAATATAAGAACAGTGACTGAGTCACACCACACAAAAAACAAAAGTTTTAGACTTTAGAAAAACTGACTTTTCTAAAATCAGAATATGTGTAGAGGAGTCATTATCAGACTGGAGCAATTTAAATGGAGTCCAAGATAAATGGGATTATTTAAAAATTGCACTACTGAAGGCAACAAAAAATTGCATTAGGTTTGTCAGTAAAAGCAAAAAATTCAAGAAACCACTGTGGTACTCTGCAGATGTGGCCAAAATAGTTAAAAACAAAAAGTTAGCATTTAGTAATTATAAAAAAAAACAGAGTGAGGAAGACAAAATTATCTGTAAGATTAGGCAAAAAGTGGCTAAGCAAGTTATAAGAGCTTCCAAATCCCACACAGAAGAGAAAATAGCACAGTAAGTAAAAAAGGGGGACAAAACTTTTTTTAGATACATAAATGAGAAAAGAAAAGTAAAACAAGGATTAGTTAAATTAAAAACAAAAGAAGGAAGGTATGTAGAAGAGGATAAAGGTCTAGCTGACTGCATAAATGAATATTTTTGTTCTGTATTAACAGATGAAAATGA